TGTGTCAAATATTCTAAAACCTCTTAGGTTAAAAAAATCTTGAATCTAAACTATTTATTATTGTGAGCAAACTATTTTTTTTGTTGTGAGCGTGCATAACACGGGGCAAGCACCCCCCTATTTTAGAGCTTCTGAAATGTTCGATTTTGAGATTATTTAATTAATTAATTTAGTAGATTAAAGATTTCAAAGTTGTAAACCTAACCAAAGTATAAGATGATAAACAGATCTTTTCATTGAAAACTTTAGTCATCAATAAGAATTAATATGGTGGGAAACATGAACCTGTGGAACAGGAATATGACTGTGATACTTCAGTAATGATTTTACATTGTCTAAAAATATTGATTAAATCTATAGTGCACACAAGTGCATACAAGTGCATGTACAGACCAATTTAACATAAGGTAATGGTAAAACTATTTGCTTTCTATATATCAACATCAAATACAAATAAGATTGCTAACATGCCTTCATCCTATTCCACAGTGTTATATATTACACTATATCATATCCAGTATCCACAAAGGATGAGACCTGAGAATACCCTTTAAAATATCAAGGAATATAGACGAAAGACTAATTATAAATTTAAATTTATATAATTATAAAACAGAAATTAAAGAATGTATACCGTGGCTTAAACTTAAGCCGCGGCTCAAATATGGTTGGTTTCATTTTTAACTGATTCAATTTTTCAAGATTTAAGCCGGCGCTCAATTGAAACCGGTTTCTGGAGGATTTGAGACGCGGCTTAAATTCATTAAATTCGGTCGACACTGATTTCTAATTAAATTTATATTTGTATATATTCCTAAAGCAACCTATCCTAGACTATATAACAATATATATATATATATATACCCTATTTTTAAAAATAAATGAAAAAGATATAAGAAGGAAGACTGGATAATTAACCTGTAAATATTTGCTGTTGACTCAACAGCATTTGATTGAAGTTTAGGAGAATTGCTGGATTTCCTGGAGAGCATTGAAGTAACTCTGCTGGATTTCCTACTTGATTTCCGACTTTCACTCCTGATCAAAATATTTATTTAAATAATATCTTTACAGACAACATCAAGTTCGAATATTTGATTTCAATTAACGTCATGATAAACTTAAGTAGAAATATAATAAAAGTATATCCCGCGGTTTTTAAAAAATTAAAGAAAAACTAAATTTTCGAAAGCATTTTATTTTCTGAGAAATTTCTCAAAAGAAATTCTAAAAAATTTAAAGAACTATAGTTATTGATAAAGAAGAAAAATTCTCCATAAATGTATTTGAATTCCGGGAAAGTCTTTATACATTTTTCTTTTAAATCCAATTTTAATCATCTTTTTATAGAATTTGGTTGAAAATTCACATATAGTCATATTTTCTAGCTAAAATAACATTTTAGTTAAGCAGAGCAAAGCTTATTTATCTGTGTCTAAAAAGCATGGATTCTAAAGTTTATACTTTTTTTCTATATTTATTTGCAAGTGTTAATACTCTATAGCTAACAGTAAGTTAATATTTATTTCTAAAGGCACTGCCTCAAACTCTAATTTTATAATCTTTGCAACCTGATGTAGTACAGGGCATCTATACAAATTTAAAACTATGATTTCTAATTGTCAAACTTTGATTTATACGTTTTACACAATCAGGTTCAAAGAAATAGGGATTAGAAAAATGAAAGATTTTTCTTTTGGCATTAAATCTGAATATTGTGTATTAGATCTGAACTCTATATTTTCTATCATTAAAAATAAAAATTTCCCATCTGATGAAGAAAGTCCCCAAAAGGGATTTATTTTCAAAATTAGTTTTTTAATAGGGTAGGGTACATGACAGAAGGCCGGTCGATGATATTTTTTTGTAATTTAAGCTAGAGATCTAAAAAAATTTTAAATTTGAAGTTCTGGAATATATAAACATGTGTCACGTGCTATTATTTGTCAAAAACAAAAACAAAAATTATTTTTTACATTTTTTCGACCTTTGCCATGTTTTTTAAAACATCCATTGCATCTGAACCTTTAAGTGAATGGTCTTTAAAAATAGGACTACATTGTATTGAAAATAGCTCCAAACCTTTACTAGATTAAGAACTTTGAAGGATTATACAGGATTTAGGCTTAGATCTTTGCCTACATAGGATTAAGATCTAAGTGTGAACGTGCAAAGAAATTAAGTCTTTGTCACAAACTAAAATTTTCTAATTCCTTTATCATAGCAACTTGATGGTGCAAACCTTTGATATTTTAAACTTAGATTATTTGATCTACCAGAATTCATAGTTTGAAATATCTAAGGTCTTCAGCATTGGGTTGCAAAGATATAGGGAATAGAAAATCTGAGTTTGTGGCAAAGACTCAAATCCTTTCTGAGATTAAAGTTTCTGACTAAACGAAAATCTGATTCGTATCCAAGTTTCTAAATGTTTATCTTTCTTAGAGAAAGTTGTTTATTTGGCTTCAATATGTAAGTGGATACATAACTAAGGATGGAATACAGTGATAATCAAAAAACCCTGAAATAAGGTGATAACTTTTATAATCAAATTATAACTATAAAAAGTCTAATGAGCATGAGACACAACAATTGTACGGCGTAAACAGACCCATTTTACTAAATAGTGATTTGCTAAGTGTCTCGTAAAACTATTTTCTTTGTAATAACATCAAATAACTTGAGTGTTGCTTTAAAGACGTCTTCCCATTCCACTGTTTTCTGGTTGTATATAATATACATGTATACACTGTACTGGATAATCAAAAAATCGGGATTACTGGTTTAAAGCCTTAAACACCTTTAAAAAGACTCTTAAATAAGTCTAAAGTAAAGTTTTAATTAAACTTTAAATAACGTTTGTCCTGCGTGCTTTTATTTGATGTTCAAATGTGTCAAATATTCTAAAACCTCTCTGTTTACTCAAGCAAACCAAAGTTGATCAAAATTTATATATTTCTGTTTCTCTAGATTTATATCGTACGAAGATTAGATGATTTTGGAAATTAGAGATCTTTTTTCATCAGAATGATCAATTAAATCAATCTAAAGCCAATAAAAAATAGTATTTTTGTCATTCTTTAAATAATTATATAACCCCTGAGCTAAAAACTTTAGAATGGTGGATCTCGAGATAAATGCTTGATTCTCTCTTTTTCTTAATCTCGAGACTAACCTAATCTTGTACTTGTATCCTGAGAAGTGTATAAAAATCAACCAATCAGAGTCGCGTATCAGAAGCCAGGAAATATGAAGTTTTTCGCGCCATTTAAGATTTATTTACAGAAACGGGGACTAATTTTGAAAACCCGGTTTTTGTTTTTTATGTACTATATCCAAAAAAGAGTGGATTAAGCAAGAAATTAAAAGTGTCAACATTGGATATTCGGATTTTAAGTAGTCAGGATTAAAGGTATCCCATTCTAAAGTTCCCAGAGCAGAGAACTTTTGAATGGTGGATATCGGGATGCATGATCCACTCTTTTTCTTAATGTCGAAATTTAATAATGCTTGTTCTCATCTTGTTATTAATCTCCAGATTAATTAACCGATCGGGATTAAGCCATTCTAAAGTTTTCAGCTCAGCTCTGATTGAGCAGCAGTATACCACAATGTTGTTTAAAACCAAGAAATTGAATTGAAACCGACAAATCTGATGGGTCCAATCACAGGTTGCGGGAGCACTAAATACAGTAGCAAGACGAATTGAAAGTCGTCTTTCAACTTTGAATTTATTTGTGACATGCAGTCGTCATCCTTGTCATCACATGTATGATTCTTGAAACAATAGCCACAAAATTCGCTGAGTTCTACCGTTTCCAAAATGCCTTTTTGTGTGCTTTCAATATTACTGGAGATATAAAGACTTTCGTTCAGATGTCACTTTTAATTTTATTAAATAAAAAAACCAAAATAGTCAAAATCTGAAGGAAATTCATCATATCTCCGGTAATATTAAAACCACAAAAAAGCACATTTTGGAAATGCAAAAACAAGTATTTTGTAATTATTAACTCTAGAATTTTACTTTAAAAGAAATGTTATGAAAAAAATGACGCAAAATATTTAAAATGTAAAAGACGACTTTCAAAATTGTATTGCTACTGTCATGTTTCGTGGGACACCCTGTAGCTCCCAGAGAGTGCGTACGTTACAAAATTTGCGTACATTTGAGAATTGTGGGTTCCTAGTATTGTAGTTTCTTTGCTAGAAAAAACTCAAACTCTTTAATCCTTGTATCTTTGAAACCTGGTCCTCTAAACCTTGGATATTTCAAACTTGGAGTATATAAATGAACTAGCAGAAATTATACTTTCAAATATTAAAGGTCTACGATATCTGGTTGCAAAAGATAAAAAATCGGAGTTTAGTTCCTTTGTGCAAATATTTCTTTTTAATGATTAATCAATTAGTTTGAAATCTCTTTTATTCGAATTCACTATTATGAATATAGACGCTAAAAAGGAACAGTACACCTAGCAAATTGGAATCTCGGATATCATCAGGGCAAACCATTATAGTTGTTTGTTTATACTAACTTGTTTTATTGATGCCCTTTCACGACAGACCAAACCATTATAGATATATTTGACAAATATTTGACTGCATGTCATTTATTTTAACATTTTGCTGAATTGATAAAGTTTAAATATATGTTTCGTCGAAAAGGATAAAGGAATTGATTCTTTGCCACAAACTCTGATTTTCTAATCACTATATCTTTGGAACCAAATGTTGCAGACCTTAGATATTTCAAACTATGAATTCTGGTAGATCAAATAATCTGAGTTTGAAATATCAAAGGTTTGCAACATCGAGTTCTAAAGATATTGAGGTTTTAATATTTGATTTTGTTCCGAAGACTCAATTCCTTAATGTAGGAAGGATTATAAATACCTGAGTTATATCCTCTCATCTATTTTTGTCAATTAAACATGTTCTTATATGAGACTGGTTCGGCAAAATAATTTAGTATTTAATACTTTTCATAGATTCAAGCAACTACTATAGTGTAAAAGCATGGAATCTAATCCCTCGCCTATATCTTTAATATTCTAATCCTTGCAAATCTTGCAAATCAATGTTGTAGACCTTTGATAGATAGATTAGTGGTAAGTCTGAAATATCGAAGATTTACACCATCATGTAGCAAGTATATTATATATATGAATTAGAAAATTATTGTATAAGGCGAGTTATCAGTTTCTTTGTGAATTGTTAAGAGAAGCTTAAATAGGGCAGTGTGTGTACTTACCTTTATTAGATATATCCTAACTTAGGTTTAGAAGCTAGCTAGCTATTCTCTGTGTGCTACCTTGGGCTTATATAGTGTATACTTACTTAGGTTCACTAGTATATACATATTTTAGGTTTGAATTTTACATATTGAATACCTATATTTAGATTGGGCTAGGTACGCTTGTGTATACCTACTCAAACTTAGCTAGGTATACTTTGTTTACCTTACCTACTTAGGTTTTTAAGGACACTTTTAACAAGTAGGGTTTTAAGGATACTAGTGTATACAACCTACTTAGGTTTAGCTATGCATACTTTTGTATATCTACTTAGGTTTAGCTATGCATACTTTTGTATACCTACTTAGGTTTAGCTATGCATACTTTTGCATACCTACTTAGGTTTAGCTATGCATACTTTTGTATACCTACTTAGGTTTAGCTATGCATACTTTTGTATACCTACTTAGGTTTAGCTATGCATACTTTTGTATATCTACTTAGGTTTAGCTATGCATACTTTTGTACACCTACTTAGGTTTAGCTATGCATACTTTTGTATACCTACTTAGGTTTAGCTATGCATACTTTTGTACACCTACTTAGGTTTAGCTATGCATACTTTTGTATACCTACTTAGGTTTAGCTATGCATACTTTTGTATACCTACTTAGGTTTAGCTATGCATACTTTTGTAACTAGGGTTTAAAGTATACTTCTGCATACCTACTTTGGTTTAACGCAGCCAGGTAAACTAGTGTGCAGTTTATACCTACTCAGGGTTGGGTAGGTATTAATATAGTAGTGCAGGAGAACACTTACCTACTACTATTTCTAGACCTAGAGCTAGGAGACTCAGTACCATGGCAGGAGTGCTGCTCTATGTCGATACTGAAATTTAATATTATTTTTCTCAATAACCTTCTAATCTTTCTCATACTTCCTCCCCTTCTAACCCTTTACCCCTCTGCCCTTCTACCCTCCTACCCTACCCTTCTACCCTTCTTCCCTACTACCCTTCTACCCTTCAACCCTTCCTCTTCAGAAACCATCAAATATTTATGAACTTCTCAGAACATATTCTTGTGTGGGACAGAGAGAATTTATAACCACGGTTTAGTTTGAAAAATCTGGAAAGTTCAGGGAAAACTTTCTCTTTCCGTTTCCCTTGATTTCTCTATTGATTTTAAAAGCATGCATGTTTAAAGCTGAAAATTGTCTGTGTTTGTTCAAAGTTTTCAAACAAATTCAACTTTTTCTAAAACTAGGTCTAGAGGTCGGAGTATGAGCAGCGCATATCAGGATTCAAACAAAAAATTCTTGGTTTTTATTTTAAGTCAAATCCCAAAAATACTGATTCAAAAAAAAATATTGAAACTGTAAAAATAGTTTGGTGATTTCAAAATCAGTTTTTGCGGAGTTTTCATGAAGAGCCGCGAGGATTAAAATCTGTCATAAATCAAAAGATTGTCAACACTCGCGGTCCAACACATTTTATGCAAATAGGAATAATTTACATAAATTATCTGTGTTCATATTTGTCAATTATTTTTTCCCAACTATTCTCATTTGTTTTTAAAGTTTTTTTTTATAAACTATTTGCTTAAAACTTGATATATGCTCTTACAAACCGATCAAGTGTAGTTGGTTTCGAAGGAATTGAGTTTCTTGGTTTGCTTCTAACATTGTATTTGACAGACTTAATTTAAATTGAAAATTAGCTAAATCTGAAAAAGAAGTATTTTAGAAAACATTAGTTTGCCAATTTTTCCGGAAAAAAACGATTTTTTATTCCCCATAGCTTTGCAATCTGATGTCGTAGATCTTAAACATGTCAATTATATGTTCTGAGCTGAGATTTTAAAAGCTTAAACCCGAGTAAAACCCGGACTCGGGCTCAGATAGAACCCAAGTCCGAATTGGTTCTGATTCGACCAATGAGAGACTGCTTAGAAAGCTTTCTCTCTGTAGCAGACAGATTAGCTGTGACAAGGGGATGTAAATTTCGTAGATACATTATTTTCATAGTATGTTTATTGCATACCTTTGATCAAATTTGACACTACAAAAAATTCCAAAGATAATAGTTTTTACGAAATTTACGATCATAAGCTTTTGAAGACTCGAGCCTTAAAGAGTGAAAACTCTATGGCGGTTGGTTTTTACTAAACTCAAGGCCATCCAATACCCAAGTCTTGGCTTGAGCTTTACTTGGGTCTAAGTAGAGACTAAGACCGGGGTTTACTCGGCTTTAAGCTTTTAAAATCTCAGCTCTGGTATCTGGTCAGTAAAAGTTTAAAAATATCAGAGGTCTACGACATCAGGATCAAAAGATTAGAAAATTACGACAGCTCATTTTTTCTTGGTGAGATCTGTGTTTTTTAATAATCTTATATAGCGTTATTGGATTGAAAGATAAAGCACACTGCGTAGTGTGTAGTCAATGCACTTATTCTAAAAATCGAAACAATTTATGATGCAAAAGTATACTTTCCTGATTTAAGAAAGTCATTGTTTTTTAAAACTCAATTCCTTGTAAAATTACTAATTATTAATAATTTGTTCAAAACTCAAGCATTTACAAAGTATTTACTTATAGTTTAGCACAGAGATTCAATTGGTGTCAATATTGAAAATCTGGGTTCAACTAAGGTTTTTTATTTATCTGGAAGGACTGGTTCAAGATTCTCCCAGTGGTTTGTCCTACCTGGAGCCAAGAGAGTTTACACTCGTCCTACTCCGGGACCTGAAGGAGTCTCCTCGGTTTATCACTTTCTTCCCAGAGGTGGAGAAGTTACGCAACCTGAAGAAGAACAAACATAAATATAGTATGTACACTGTACAGGCGAATTGAGTTTGAAATATCTAAGATTATACAAGCATTGGGTTTGAAAAATAAGAAAATCATAGGTTGTAAGAAAGACTTGCAATTCCTTTAAATTCTATGCTGAAAGAACCAAGAAAAAGGGACAGTAAGCATAATTTCAATTAACCTTTCATGTAAAGATGACAATGCCCTATTTACAACGATATCCTTGAAACCTTGATCTGATCAATAATCTGGAATATGTATCTGATAATTCCAATATATTTTCCTTCAGTATAGAAATGCAAAGGTCGCTTTTGTATTCAGCAAATACGCAACCAATCTGAAAACGACGATATCTCCGAGGAGGCTAAGTAGCTTAGGTTTTCTCCTATTATTTGAATTTAATAATTTTTCATTGTAATAGATATAATTGATAATGTTATTTATTATATCACGGGACCAAAACTCCAGCCATTAGCAGTGCAGTATACTGGTCACGTGATACAGACGGAGACAAGTGATAAGAAACATCAGATAGAACTTTTATGGGACTCGATCAACTCCTAAAATGCTTTGGTTTCATTCTATACTACCTTTCATTTTTCCTTTACATTCGATCCCTTTAAACAACAATTTTATGTAAAGATCCATAGTAAAATTTTTATTTTTTTTCTTACTTTTTCATCTTATTTTCTAAAGTGCAGTGGTCCAAAGATTTATATAATTAAAAGTCTAAAAATACATAAAGGGTTCCAATTTCATATTTAACACAAACTTTTTAAATTAAAATAATCTTTATTTAAACGTTAATATTAAAAAGTGGGTTCAAATTTTTATGACATAACTCTGTCTATTGAAAAATTGTTTCAATAGATAACACTAAAGCTGAAAATATTTAGAAAATTGGTGAAATATATTTGTTTACAGAAAACTCTCAGAAAGGAAATGAACAGTTATTGCAAACTTTGATTATATTTTCTCTGTTTCTTTGAAACCTGATGACGACGTAAATCTTTGATATTACAATCCTAACACAAAAGTTTTGACGTCAAGGCGCGTTATAAAATGAATAGAACAGCAATGGTTTGATCTCTAATTACTTTTAATAACTATTTATAAAACTGTTATTCGCAGTGCAGGGGTCAATATAATTCCCTTTTCAATCCCATTTGGGATTGACAAATTTGAAAGAAATGGGGGCAAATTGCGAGCTAGATATAAGTCAAGTCGCCCCTGTCAAGGTCTTTGAGTTGCCCCTGAAGTTCATACTGAAGCTGTGTTCTGGAAAGTTCTATATAAGCACAAACTAGTTTATGTAAAGTATAAGTTGATTTTGATTTCAAAGCGTGCATCTTACACTCAGTATTGGTCAAGAAGCGGTATTAGACGGATATATGTCTTTATCATTGTTTTGTTTGTTTGTTTGTTTGTTTGTTCGTGTAGTATTTCCCGCGGACCAATGTGGTAAGATTTACGCTATTTTTATGATTTGCATTGTAAACCAGAGATCATCAAAGTATACTAGATTAACCACTTATGTATTCGCATAGTTTAAAAACTGTCAAATATGATATTATTGTGTAAATTGATAAAAAAAATGGAATAGCAAAATATTATAGTTTATCAATCTAAATTGCTCTAGATTGAAGACCCGTCCTGAATATAGTTTTCAGTTCTGTTCAAGTCTTTTTCTTTGAAGATGAGTCGATCTCAAGACAGAGGATCTTCCGATCTATCCAAGAGGAATACGACACGGTAGATTATCTATGGTCGTCACTAGAGGTTGCGAAACACCATGTTTAAGTATATATACAGGTGTAATCCTTCCAATAATACCTTAAAACTATCTA